CCCGCGACTCCGGTCATCGTCCTCCGCCGCCTCACTGCCTGGGAAAAGAAACTGCCCAAGCAGTACACCGTTGCCGCTGCCCCTGGGGCGAACTCCCTCCACCTCCCGTTAGAGCTCGAGTCCACCACCAGCGCTGAAGCTCTCACTCTCTGGGCTTGTCGACTGTGGTGCCACCTCCGACTTCATTGACACGAACTATGTTGCTCGGAATGGCATTCCGGTCCGCACCCTCGATCAGCCGATTCCGGTTTTCAATGTCGATGGCACCCCCAATGACGCTGGCTCCATCAAACAGATCGCGGACTTGGTCCTGCGCTACAAAGGGCCATGCCGAACGAGTTCAGCTGGCCGTCACCCATCTTGGCAAGCAAGACCTCATCCTGGGGTATTCCTGGTTGCGGAAACATAACCCAGAGATCAATTGGGAAACCAAGGAGGTCAAGATGACACGGTGCCCCCGCAATTGCTCGACCTGCCGTGAGGAAGAGCGGGTCGAACGGACCGAGTTGCGGCGACTCCGGTCGCTTCAGAAGCGTCTCCGCTCCGGCCCGTTCCCCTCGGTCTGCGCCATGGACCTTTCTGGGTCCGATGACGGAGACGATTCCGTCTCCGGTGATGACTCCGGCCTGCCTGATCTGACGCCGGACTCCGACGACGACGATGACGATGGTCAGCTTGAAGATGGTGACCGCATCTTCTACACCTCGTTCCGGCCCTCGGAGGAGATACGCGCTGGCAGTACTGTCTCGCAACGCCTGGCCGAAGCCTTCGCCAGGAACTCCGCCCCTCCGCCCTCCGAGATCCCGGACTGGGCTAAGGAGTTCCAGGACGTCTTCAACAAGGAGTCCTTCGACACGCTACCGGAGCGGAGAGCCTGGGACCACGCCATTGAACTCGTCCCCGACGCTAAGCCCACCGACTGCAAGGTGTACCCCATCTCGCCCCTCGAGCAACGCGAGCTCGACGCGTTCATCGAGGAAGGGCTTTCGACGGGCCGGATTCGCCCCTCCAAGTCTCCGATGGCGTCTCCGGTCTTCTTCGTCAAGAAGAAGGATGGCGGACTCCGCTTCGTCCAGGACTACCGTGCTCTCAACGCGATGACTGTCAAAAACCGGTACCCCCTTCCGCTGATCAACGACCTCATCAACCGGCTCAAAGGCGCTCGTTACTTCACCAAACTCGATGTCCGTTGGGGCTTCAACAACGTCCGGATCAAGGAAGGTGACGAGTGGAAAGCGGCTTTCCGGACTAACCAAGGCCTGTTCGAGCCCTTGGTGATGTATTTCGGCCTGACAAACTCTCCCGCAACGTTCCAAACGATGATGAATGACATTTTTCAGGACCTCATCCTCTCCGGAGACGTCATGATCTACCTTGACGACATCCTGATCGCCCATTCCGACCTCCGGAAACACCGGCAGATCGTTCAGGAGGTCTTGCGGCGACTCCGAGAGCACAAGTTGTACCTCCGAGCGGAGAAGTGCGACTTTGAAAAATCCTCAATCGAGTACCTCGGAGTCATCATCTCCCACAACCACGTCGAAATGGACCCCGTCAAGGTCGCAGGCGTCTCCGCTTGGCCGACTCCGGAAAACAAGAAGGACATTCAGCAGTTCCTTGGGTTCGCTAACTTCTACCGCAGGTTCATTCGGGACTTCTCGACCCTTGCGCGCCCTCTCTTCGTGCTCACCAAGAAGGACCAGCAATGGACTTGGGGCGACGCGGAGGCCTCCGCGTTCCAAGCGATCAAGGACGCGGTCACCTCGGAACCGGTCCTGGCGATTCCGGACGACACACGGCCTTTCCGACTCGAGGCGGACAGCTCTGATTATGCGACGGGGGCGGTTCTTTCACAATCCGCCCCGGACGGGAAGTGGCACCCTGTAGCATTCTATTCCAAAAGCTTAAACGATGTCCAGCGCAACTACGAAATCCACGACAAGGAGATGCTCGCGATCATCCGCACACTCGAGGAGTATAGACACTTCCTCGAGGGCGCCGCACCCTGTCGAGATTTGGACTGACCATAAGAATTTGGAGTACTTCAGGAAGACGCAACACCTCAACCGGAGACAGGCCCGGTGGTCTCTGTACCTCTCCCGGTTCGACTTCACGCTGCACCACAAGCCTGGCCGCGATATGGGTCGGCCTGACGCCCTCTCCCGGAGACCCGACCACGGAGTCGATTCCGACAACTCCGATGTCGTCCTTCTGCGGCCTGAACTCTTCCATGTCCGCGCACTCGAGGGCGTTTCCGTTTCCGGTCCCGGCTCCGAACTCCTCCGTGACATCCGTGATGCCCTCTCCGGTGAGCCTGACCTGGAGGAGCCCGTCGCACTAGCGGCCCGGCAACTTCTTAAGGTTCAAGGTCAAGCTCGAGGCCCCCGCTCCTCACGTTCTGACGAGTGGGCCATCTCCGGCGGTCTTCTCCATTTCCGAGGAAAGATTGTCGTACCAAAGGACAAGGACCTCCGGAGACGCATCATCGAGCTCTGCCATGACACCCGAGTCGCCGGACACGCAGGTCGTTTCAAGACCCTGGAGTTGGTCTCCCGGAACTACTGGTGGCCTCAGATGTCTCGCCATATCGGCCGGTATGTTGTGACCTGTGACTTGTGCTGTCGCACCAAGGCACTCCGGAGACTGCCCCACGGAGAACTGCACCCCACGGAAACGCCCCCGAACGCTGGCATACCGTCTCCGTCGACTTCATCGTAGAGCTTCCCGAAGCCCATGGGTACGACGATCATGGTCGTCGTTGACACCCTCGGAAAGCGCGCCCACTTCTCAGAGTGTCATACGACGGTCGATGCAGTAGGGGCAGCCCGCCTCTACTACCGGAATGTCTGGCGGCACCACGGGACTCCGGAGAAGTACGTCTCCGACCGCGGCTCGCAGTTCATCGCGGACTTCACCCGAGAACTTTGGCGTCTAATCGGCATCAAGCCCGCCACGTCCACCGCGTACCACCCGCAGACAGACGGTCAGACAGAGCGCGTCAACCAGGAGTTGGAGCAGTACTTGCGGATCTTCACCAACTACCAGCAGGACGACTGGGATGAGCTGATTCCGGCCGCGGAGTTCGCCTACAACAACCACGTTCACTCCTCCACGCAGCAGGTCCCCTTCATGACGGACACGGGACGGCTCCCGCGCATGGGCTTCAACCCGGAGTCCGTTCCGCCATGGAGTCAGTGAACGAGTTCCGCGACCGGATCGCCACTGGTGTTGCTGAAGCCAAGGCCGCTCACTAAGGCCAAAGAGGAGTACAAGCGCTACTACGACCGGAGACGGACTCCGTCTCCGGAGTTTAAGGTTGGCGACCATGTTTGGCTGGATGCCTCTGACATCAGGACGACTCGCCCCTCGGAAAAGTTCTCCCATCGCCGCCTCGGACCGTTCAAGATAGTCGCGGAGATCAGCAAAGGTGCCTACAAGCTCGACCTCCCTCCGCGCTACTCGAAGCTCCACCCGGTCTTCCCCGTCGTCAAGCTCGAGCTCGCTCAGGACGACCCCTTTGACGGACGCCCCGGCTACGACCAGCCCCCTCCGGACCTCGAGGACGGAGTCCCGGAGTGGGAAGTAGAGGAAATCCTGGACGCAAGGGTGAGGTATAAACGGCTGAACTACTTCGTCAGATGGAAAGGCTACGACGCATCGCACGACCAATGGGTCCGCTTCGACCGCGTCTTCGCCCCGGAGAAAATTGCGGAGTTCTATCGTAAGTACCCTGGCAAGCCACGACACATCGCCTCCGCGACCTTCGACTCGATTCCGTTCTGGTCTATGCGTCGGGACGCCGCATTCAAAGGGGGGTGATGTCAGGGGAACCTCCCTTTCGGCCCCTCGGAGACGCCTCCGATTCCGGTCCGACTCCGGTTCCGTCTCCGGTCCGGCCCTCCATCTCGCCCGCACAATCACCGATCCGTCAACGCCCTCCCGACGGTCGCCCTGGGACCTCGCCTGCGACGCCGCCCAAGCCTTCTGTGCCCGACAGCGGCAGCTACGGACAAGCAGTATATAGTCAGCTACCTAGCAGGCGGACCCTTAGAGTTTCTTCTCTTTGGATCCTCCCCTGCTAGGTCAGCTTCATTTGTATTCGCTTACCAATGTTCACGCCTTTGGATCCTCCCCTGCTAGGACCTTGATCTCAGGCCTCCGGGGTTGCCCTTACAGTGTCTAACAACAGGCCAGAAATGGAAAGGGAGGTTCCCCTGACTGTATTGATATAAAAAATCTTTCTGTAAGTAAATATGTTGCAGATTTGGGTTGGATTTGGGATGGATGATTGAGATATGATATCTTGATAATATCTTATCCATGATAAAAATTGGTGCTTTATCCATACTGCCATGATCACCAATGATTTATGCAATTTTAAGTATTTCTGGTCCTTGAAGCCTTGAACTTGAAGATGTCGTTGAGTCATCGTCCGCCACGTAGCACCTGTCACGGTACGGTAACTCGGATGCTCGCTTGTTTTCTCCTTTCGCTCATGCAGGCGAACGGCGCGGCGACTTGCTTGTGGCCCGTCGCCATCAGCAATCCAGCAACGCTATGGTTTCTCTGGACCAGTGAGTTGGGATTCAGATGCCTCGTCTCTGCTTGCTGGGTCTTCTCAAGTTTTTTGGCATGTTTTCTGGTGATTCCCTATGGACATAGAAGAGCATGGCAGCCGAGACGGCAGCCTTCGCCGTACTCACAAAGCCAGTCAGTAACGCCGATCCTCCGGGTCTTTGCGTCGAACCTTCGAAGAATGTTGGAAGACTTCTGTGGAAGACTGGTCCAGACCCTGCTTTCGCCAGGACTAGTGCCTTGCTCTCGCTCTAGCCTACAGTACAACTCTAAACAGATTCCGAAGCCGTGCAAGTTCTCAAAACCGTCCCCCACCCGCACAAGACCTAGCGGTATAACTAGTACTTATCTTGGTAGGAATCCTTCCTTGGACTACGATCCTGCCCCATGGAGCTATTCGTCGATTCCGCGCTTCCGTCACGCACATGATTCAGCATCCGGGACGTCGGACTTGCCCCGACCCACCTCTCTCTACGATGTCCCACCATACGAGCATCGCCGGGCGGCTTGCCCCTGAGCTAGTCGACCTCGTCCATAGCTACCTCGACGACGCCACCCTGCGCACCGCCAGCTTGGTATCCCGCGACTGGCTGCATATAGCCCGCAACCACATAACGCTCCCTATTGCATTCGATAAACGGAACGGATCCACACTGGAGGACGTGCTCGACGACCCCCAATGCACGCTGCTCACCACCATCCGCCGCATTCACCTCGTCCACCCCGAGCCCGATGTCGTCCCGCCCCTCCGAGCCTACCTCTCCCGCTTCGACCACCTTTCCTGGCTCAAAATATGCGGTATGATACTCGGCGAAATGCCGCCCCTCCCCCGCGTGCGCACCCTTGGGCTGTTCTTCTGCATATTCGACTCACAAGCAAGCATCCTCTCATCACTGCATAACCTCCCCGCCCTGCGCAACCTGACGCTCCGCCGCCTCCGCTGGTTTTCGCCCTCTGTGATCAACCACGCTGCGCCACTCCTATTAGACTTCCTCGATGTCGATTGGCACCGCAACGAACGCTTTGAAGACATCCTGTTCGCATTGCGGCCGCGCCACCTGATGGTATGGCCCATCATCGACGATGCGGAGCGTGATCTGGCGACGGTGTCCACGTATCTGTGCCATTTGGGTGAACGCATCGAGCGATTGACGCTTCAGACCGCCTCTACATTGCACATTGGTATGTGGCCACCTATAGTCATAGCCTGCTTGCTCACGTGCTCGGACTAGAACAAATGGTGGCACATGGACTGGAACTCGGGGCGTGTACTGCCCTGCGCGCACTGGAGCTGACCTCCGGGATCCAGTACTGGGCGTCGGGCGACCGGGCCGCCAAGAGCCGCGTGCACGTGACCGTGTCGTCCGCCCTGCCAGGGCTGCTCGCGCGGCTGCCCGCACCCCTGGACATCCTGACGCTAAGCGTGACCCCTGCTGCGTCCCATGTGTCCGGCCCAGTCCCACTCGCCAAAGTGCTTGGGGACAGGCGCTTCACAGACTTGGGCCGCCTGCGCATCGTGATCGACGCGGCGCGCTTGTTGACGGCCGAAGATGCGATGGGTAGCGACCTGGTGTACATTCAGAGGGCACGGGCGGATGTGGAGCCACTGATACGGGCCGCCATGCCGCTGTTGATGGTGGGCAAGGTGGAATTCATGAACGGCGTGGTTTTAGACCAAGAAAAAACCTCATAGATCATTGCATTTTATCATTATGGAGACAATCCCATTTTTCAAAAGAAATTACTTACCAAAACAGAAAAAAAATATCTGTCTAGCTCCAGCACGCTCATCGCAAACTATATGAAACTTTGTAGACCACAGGATGTAAGTGAATGGAAGACACGGATAGCAAAGACAAGATTCTTCGAAAACTTTGACTGACTCGGAGGTGAAGCTAAACATGCGGCAAGTATTTATTCCAGTCAACATCTAGATACGCCGCGTCGGAAAGATCCCGCAAAGCAATCAGCGGCAGCACGATCAACACTGCGCGCGCAGGGATGTAAAGGGCGCTTCCCAGCGCGTAGATGATCAGGGCCGTCTTGTACCCGTACGCAATCCAGGTGAAAGTCCACGTGACACCGTCGCTGTACACCAGCAGCACAATCATCGGCACAACCCCCAGGAGGAGGGACGATACGCGCCAAAGCCACATTTCTGCGACAGAGAGGAAATGCGACCGCCAAGCCGCGCAGTGGACGGCGCTGAAGAGTGCCGCAACGAGCATGGCAATGAGCGGGCTGTACTTCTCCGCGTCGTCCATATATGATGCAAAGAAGAAGGTGGGGACGGCGGGATCGTTGAAATAGTCGCGTTGTGTGGACATGCCGAGCAGCGAGTAGAATTTGTCCACGAAGGAGCGTTTCCCCTTGACGTGGGGTCCCCATTCGATATCAAGAGCGACAAATTCGCGGCCAGACGGCTCAATTGCTCTTGCAGTCGGCCCAACCCTGATCGGGGCACGCACATCCAACGGCTTGCTCCACCACAATAGCCAGTTGACGGCATTGATGCTTGCAAACGCAAGGGTTACGACTTCGAGTTCAGTCAGCGGGAGGTGCTGCTGAAGCCGTGCGAGACACTGCACCACGAACCAGAGCGCTTGAAGGAGTGCTACGGTCTTGGAGAATGCGTCGCCCTGACTGCGGTCAAGAATTTCCTCTTCCGATATGTGGCGAATCGCGTCGATGTGCTGGTCAATGTCGCTGCTCTGCACGAGGGGATGACGGTCGTTGTCCACAAAGCCGCCCATAGAGATGAAAAAGCCATGTGTAAGGGATATATCGTATTCTCCCAGTTACGATTAGCGCAACTAAGAGTTAAAACACTCGATGCTCACTTCTCGAGAAATACCACGCAGTTTCCAACTGCCTTCCGGCAAAACCAACGATAAGTTCCGGCGCAATAAAGGCGGCGAGCACGACCTTGAGTCGTCGCCTAAGGCCAATCGACTTGTCGAAAAAGCGCCACCGGAGGTGCTGCCATAATGAGGCATCCTTTGGGGGAGGTGGTGGAACAGGTGGAGACACGTTTGGATGCGCAGAGACCCATACGCAGGCGAAGATGGTTGTGAAACAGCCCCAGACTATGTCGAAGAAACTGCGCTGGTTGTTCTCCAAAGCGGAGCCGGTCGAACGGAGATGTAACGAGTTCATAACGAGGACGCTGGAGTACAATTACTGGGAGGAAAACGAGGAAGACTGGCGGGGCACGCACCACTTGTAGGGACAGTCATTTTTCTCACCGCCATAAGCCACTTGGACACTTCTACCATTCAGCAAGCGATATTTTACAGTTCTAACTTTTTGCTGACAATGCTTGCAGATTCAAGATACGGAGGCTGTCCCTGCTGGTGGATTTGGGACAAAACAATCAGCAGATGTCGGAAGAAGTGGAGGAAATGGATTTCACACCTTAGAATCTAGCGATGTGGAAGAAGGTCAAGCATTTCAGCTGTCGCCGGTCGTCGAAGAGCTTCGAAGAGATGGCGGAGTTGTGGATCTGTAAGTCGTCAGTACCTCGTCATGCTTTCCAGCCGCTGCTGTCGAGTCAGAATCGTAGTATACTTTCCTTTCCTCTTGCAATTGGAGACGTGAGAGGTACAAGCTGGGAATAGCCTGAGCACAGCCTTGCTGATCTTCGGGCCGACTCGGATATCACGGTCACGGTCCCACCCTCTCTTTTTGTCTTCCGCTCGTTGGTGTGGCCGCCGTCTGCTTATTATCTGCCCGCCCCAAGCGGAGCGCTCTCCCCGGCGCTCGTCCCTATGGGTCCATCCATCCACGCGAACAATTGTCCCAAGCAGCCTGGCGGTGGTGCTTGGGCCGCAACATTCGCCCAAGCGTTCGGTGTATAAGTTCAGCGTCGAGTGATGCGCTGGGGCATAATACACCATGTACGCACCAACCGCCTTCGAACTCCCGAATGAACTCTGGACGGAAGTCCTGGCCGACCTCCCCCGTTCCTCACTTATTCACGTTCGTATGGTGTCGCGCCACTTCTACGCCCTTGCGCACCCGGTCTTCTTCCGGTCACTCATCCTTGACCCCGACCACCACGCTTCACGTGGTAACCGCGACTTCCTGGGTATGCTCCAGCTGTACACTGGCCCACACATCCGCAAACACGTCCGTGACCTGTCTGTGTCATTCCGTTTTGCCCGCTGCACCCGTAGCCAGCGTTGCAGCGGAAAAGTGATGCCCCTGTCCGGTCCAATGCTCGCCGCCATCCCCACCTTCAGCAGCCTACGCACTCTCGAATGCGCTTTCCGCCCAACCGAGACCGTCGACCTCAGCGCACTCGGGTTCCACACCCTGCCCATGCTCGACAAGCTCACCATTACTGGCGGCAGCATTGCTTGTCCGCTGCAATCTGACCCCGCCAGCCGCCTCCGCGTTGCCCACTTCGCATATACCGACATCCCCGGCATGGAACACGTACTGCAGGCACAGCTGGCCCATCACGACGGCGCTGGCTTCCGGTCATTTCTCTCCGCGCTCGACCCGGCCTATCTTACGGCGCTTACCCTGCGGCCCTCGTACGACGTTTCTCCAGGTGCATGGCTTTCCCTCGACGCCGGCGTCCATCCCTCTTTTACCCGCCTGGCCACCGTCGATATCAGCGTGGACGGTCCGTTCCTCGGCCCGGTCCGGTCCTTCCTCGCCGCCCTCCCCGCACTGGCCAACGTTGTACTCTCCGGTGCCTTCCGTAGCGCATGCGACCTCTCCCTCGACACCCCTGCATGGCCACAAACCCCCGCCCCTGTGGCTATGACCCGCGTGCGACGCTACACCGGGCCGGCAGAGTACCTCGCGCGTTTACGTTTGCCCAACCTCACGAGCATCACGCTCACCTCGGCGGGCTGTCGCTGCGCCATTCGCGGACTGTTCAAGCGGCTGGACACGACGCAGGTCGAGGAGCTAGCGCTGATGTTGCCGCTCGGGTACATCCACGAGTGGGTTGACCTCAGTTTCTACGAGGATGAGGAGGAATCAATATGTTGGCGCAACCGAGAGGAGACGGACGGTGTGTTTGGGCTTTTCCCGCGACTGCGAAGCTTGAGGCTGCGCGTTACGGACAACGCGGAGGACGACAAGGACGTGCTCGACGCGTTTGATGTGCTGATTGACGAGATAGGCGTGAGTATTTGGGTCTACCTTTGGCTACTGTGCTGATTTCTGGGCAGGCTGATGTACCGAATGCGCTGGTGTCGATTTTAAGGGAGGCAGACACGGTCAAGATCCCCCTTGACCATGTTGTGGTTGAGTGGGACGTTGCTGGTGCGACGGTGGCCGCGCTGCCGGAGATGGAGGGGCTGTTTGACGTTTTGCAGGGTGTGTCGGAGCGGATGCGGGAAATAGAGTTTAAGGGTGGTGTGAGGGACGAAGATGCTTATGTTGCGCCGGCATAGAGAGAGAGAAGTTTGAACTAATCCTATGCATTGCAATTATACCCTGTGTCTTAAATCACCAAACGATGGTACTTATTGTCAAACGGAGTTCAAGTTTAAAGTCAGGCTGGTCCTTCCTCACGAGCGGGCTGGTTAAGTGTTGTTAGAATAATCCAAGTGAAATTATATATAACTTCACAAATCCGTTGTGTTAGATCGTTGAAAGTTGTCTCGGCAGGCTGTGTGCCCATTTGACACACGTCACATGGCTGTGACGTGTGTCGATCCCTTCTTCCTTTCGCCCACGATGGCGGTGCTCCTTATTCAGTGGCCCAAGAATCTCCTGCGGGCATCCGGCGCGTGGGAGGGCGTGCACCGCCCCTTCAATGCCACGCGCAAATCCGCCACCCTGCGCTCCGGACGCGTGTCGCCGGAACGGGCAAATGGTCGAGTTTTCCCGAGATGAGGGCGACGGAATAGAGCAGAGCTGTTAGCGCCCACCCACATATACCACTTTGTCGACATCTGGAGGCGAGATCGACTGTTGGACTGGCTGGCACGCAACAGCTCTGGCGATTGCTCAGCAGGGCTATCGGGCAGAGCGGCGCGGTATATAACGCTGCTCGAGCTCCTAGTTTCACCTCACCAATCGCTCCATGTCCGACAAGACAGCCGCTTCCCTTCAGCGCGGTAAGGCATGCAGTAATTGCAGGCAAGTCTATCTGCGACAGAGCAAGAATAGCTGATTAACTTTCCCAGGCGCCGCAAAATCGTGTGCCCTCCCTCAGCGCCAGTCTTTTAAATCTCAAAGCTTTTTCATAGAAATGCGACGGGATGCGGCCGACGTGCTCGCAGTGCCGACTGCGCCCACCACGGTCGAATATTCCCTGCGAGTTTGACCTGGAACCCATCAACAGCCACCAGACGCCCGCGCAACTGCTCGAAACGATCCAGATTTTGCAGGCGCGTGTTGACCGGCTACAGCGTGCTACGGGCCAGACGGGTACAGATGTTTTACTAAGGCAACCATATGCAGAAGGCGAAGGGAGCGGAGGTAAGACTGGGTTCGCGATTTGTTTTGGGAAGGCTCATATTGGCGAGTAGGCTCATCTGGGTATTCAAGTCCGTCGCCGACAGAGACAACGGCGTCTGTTCAAGTAATAACCCTTTGACTACCTCCCAAACTATTCTGATATCAGACCAGGATCCACCGTTTCATATTGCGGCTACATTGTAAGAGAACAAATCATTATGTTTTCACTTTAACCAACTACCTTCTCCAGGATAGACCGTTTTCTTGAAGCGTTTGCTTACCGGGGGTACTTCTTCCTCGAACCGCGAACGTTCCGCGCCGCTGCCGTACTTCCACAACCTTTCGGGCATCCGGACCGCCCTGCCCCGTCACTGCTGAGCGCAGTCTACCTCTGGGGGCGCGGCGCTGCCCAACTCTCCCCGCAGCCCGCCATATACCGAGGACGCCTTCCTTTCCGCTGTACATCATCATCTTCCTCGCGACGTTGCACGTTTCCAGAGCAGCCCTCGGATTGTGTTGCACACCATCCAGGCGGAGGTCTTGCTCTCCTACTATTTCCTGCACGCTGGGCGGCACCTCGAAGGCCGGCAACATACTGCCTCGGCCATCGCCCTGGCTATCACGGCCGGGCTGCACGTTCTCCCGCCGACGTCCGCCACGCAGCTCGAAATACCACGAATGGAGGCATTCCCGGCCTTTTCAATTCAGTCTGACGCGCTTCTACCCCCAACTGTGGATGGCCGGGAGGCGACGGAGCGCGTGAATGCGTGGTGGAGCGTGTGGATATTGAATAATTATTGGGTTGCGGCGGATGGTGGCGCTTCCGCAATTCCCGGTGGGCTAAATGTCGACACGCCTTGGCCGGGAAGTCATAGTACGGTAACGATGTCTTCCACCTTTTTGACTGTATTTTAACGGTCAACAGAGTGGTTCAACGATCACGCGCTTCCTGAGCGGCAACGACCACGAGACGGCTGGACCCGTCGCACTGATTGCCCGTGCAACGACACTTCTAGAGCGCACAATTGCATTTTCGGCTCACAGAACGAGTCAGTATTCTGCTCCCGCAGTTGACTCCAACCTCTAACCTGGCCCACTCCCCAGTCCCGCCTGACCCAAATGTCTTCGCGACTTTTGCGCAGCGACTACAGGCCTTTCATGCGAGCCTTCCCGCAATTTCAGGGCCCGGCTCAAACGTCGACAGCTCACTTCTTCTTGCGCATGTGCTTACGGACCTCGCTGCCGTTCGGCTCCACGCCCCGTACGCCGGTGCCGGCCCGACAGAGCCCGGCGCAAACCCGAGTCGCGGAGCCACGCTCTGTGCTGCGGCCCGCATCGTGAGGCATCTCGCTGGCTTCGCAGTTGACGATGTCCGGGTCGAGCCTATCGTCGGGGTGCGCTCCAAGTTTTGGTTATGAAAAGTTGAAACCTCATGCCTGATTGCAGGTTGTGGCTGCTAGCATTGCAAACCTATATATCACAGAGCTTGCGGCGCTGCGGACAGAACGTGACCCGCGGAGGCGCGCACAGGCCCCGGAGATAGAGCTGCACCTGCGCGACCTCATGAGTCTGATGGCGCTCTATGCGGGTGCAAGCCCGATAACCCGTGAGTGGTGTTTGCGCCGGGAACTTGCAAGGCTTCTAATTGCGGCTCGTAGAGCAGTGTTTTGTAGATGTGTCGATGTCGTATTCCGCCGTTCTATAGAGTGCAGAGCCGCTGGCCGGGTCAATGATCGCGCAATTCCGCTATTTATTGGAATTATTTATGGTATTAATGTATCTATTTCATAGAGGTCCTCCACCCGAGTCAGCCGTCTCAAACCATATCGCTCCGACTTGGAGTGGAATCATGCCATCAGCGCACACCCTGCGGAATTTGCCTTTTTCGGCACCAGGCGGTTAGTCGGTCAAAGCGCGTTGCGTGCGTCAAAGCTCCCAGACAAAGCCCACGTAGCCGTCCACGACAATGCGCGACTAAATAGGTGAGGGGTCTTGGTATAAAGGAGGCATAATTTTGGGGTACGGAACCCACAACCCATCGTCTCTTCATTTGTCTACTTTCCTTATCCTTTGCCACCATACCCACTCTCATCCACTCTAATACCTCATCAACTATCTTGAACATGGCTGCGCCACTCTTCACGTACCGCCAAATCTCCGCCGAGATCATGGAGGTCATTCCCGTGCCACCGAAGGGTTGCAGTTCGGACGCCCCTTGCGAGCCGTGTGTGCCACCCTTATCCTTCGTAGCCGCTCTAACAGCCCCCCAGCCCGCAATACGACCTGCCTGCCCTCGCTGCAGAGGTCTTCGACGCATCTATGTTCGACGGCGACCTCTCTGGCTTTGCTGCGCCGCCCGGCACCGACAGTTCTGTGCCGACCGATCCAATGCGTGGCCTGCGGCTCAAGACGCTCAAACAGGCGCATTACCGCGCGTACATGCTCAAGCACGTGCTCAAGCCGAGCCGCAAGGGGCACGACCACATATTCTGGCACGCGTTGGGCGACGGGGAAGAGGCCCGCAAGCAGAGTGCCCGTGCGGCGGAGCGGCTGCACCGCAAGAAGGAGATGATGAGTCACAGCGGCGCGCCCAAGCAGGAGCCGGTGGAGCTGGGCGGGGCGATGGAGAGCGAGGAGGAGTATAAGCGCTTGCAGTGGGATTACAAGTGCCTTCTGGTCGCGATGAGCCTCCGTGAGCGACAGGAGCTGGAGGTCGAGGGGCGGGAGGTCGAGGCACTTTGAGAGGACGGGGGGCAAGAAATAGACGGCATTTCTGTCGCGGGCGACGGAACTAGTGCTGGCCAGAATTATATTATGCTTGATTAAATATTGAATATATTCAGAATATTATGAATATATTATGCACTTCGTGGATCACTTGAATATGATTATGTTTGAATATATTATATTATATTATGACTATACTATATTATAGTCGCAGAATATTCAACTATAGTAAGGTGGATGATTACAGCTATTTTCTCAGTCTATATACTCAGTCATAGTACTAATCTTAGTCTGAGTTAGCCCTACTTCTGATAAATGGCACATATTATCTATTATATATGGTGATTCATACATTACCCTTTGTAGGCACAAATGTCAGGAGTGATCACTTTGGGTTGACCTATTAAACATAGTGTAGGACCTCTGATCAAGTGTCTACTGGCTAACCTAAGACTAGTGACAATGCCCCTGATTGTATTTTGAGAGTCCTATGTAACCCAGGGAGGCCCAAAAGGAAGTTGCACTGACAATCCAGCATGTATTTTATGTTTTTGATTCCTGTTTCTAGCAGACAATATGTCAAACATATCAAGAGATATGCATACTAGATTATAGTTGAATATATTCATAACATATTCATATTTTGCAGCTGAATATGATTATATTATACTACAAATATATTATTGGGTTGGAGCTCTGAATATGATATGATTATAATATATTATGCCCATAAAATAATATAATCATATTTGGCCAGCACTAGACGGAACCACAATCTTTTGTTTGGATTTATTTCTTGGATAATTTGTAGTGAATGGCACAATCTTTGCAGATCCAACTTGAAGGTCTGAACTTGAATGTTAAATGAAATGAGTACTTAGCACTAGAGGATAATCCATGATTAGTACTCGACGGACATGCGCGTAGACTCTGACTCACTCGTAGTTGCCTCGGAAATAAAATAGAACCAAAAACATAAATGATATTTAGAACTAGTTATATGCTTCTTTACATCAAACAAAATTGAGCAGTTTTTCTCAAGTTTTACCACTGGCATATATATTTTATCAATTTTTGTCAGTTTTTATGATGGTAATATGACCTATACACCAAGTTGTTGCCAACCATATTCCTTTAAGCTGTGAGAACTTTTTTTTTCAATCTGATCTTCAAACTTGTTGTGATACTAGTAGTCTACAATTTGGAAGAGTAAACAAATTTTCATCAGGATTAGTGCTGACTAGAATTATATTATGGTTGATTAAATATTGAATATATTCAGAATATATTCAGAATATTCAGAATATTCAGAATATATTATGCCTTTGGTCAATCACCTGAATACAATTATGTTTGTATAAGGGCAACCCCGGAGGGTCTGACAAGAGCCTAGCAGGGGAGGATCCAAAGTGTGAATAAAAGCTGCAGGAAATACACGGAAGGACCGACCTAGCAGGGGGAGGATCCAAACAGAAGAAACTCTAAGGGTCCACCTGCTAGACTATATACTGGTCATCTGTAACTGCTGACGCAGAGCACAGAAGGCCTGGGCAGTAACACAGGCTCTGTCCCAAGGTAATTGTTGGGAGGGTCTTGACAGATTGGTGATTGTGTGGGCAAAGGAGGCTGTGGACGCTGGACAGGGTGGACTGGAACGTCCGAGGGGGCACTGGTCGGATGTGCCTTGGATGCGCTTGGACGGTCCAAAGGAGGCCAAAGCGGGGGTTCCCCCTGATATCACCCCCCCCTTTGAATACAGTGTCCCGACACATAGTGATGACCAGGTCCGGTTCGGGATTTCGGTTCAAACCCGAACCAGACCAGACTGAATGTACGTTCGGCATTCAGGTTCAGTCAAGGCTGTTTCTGAACCAGACCTGGCCCTCGGTTTGGTTTGGCCATTTTCAGTCCAAAAACGCCGGTTGCCAGCTGGTTCAAACTGGTGTTCAGCGTTTACGTTCGGCAAAATCCCATTTTGAACCAAACCGGCAGTCCGCATTCTGCCAAAATAGGCCAAGAACCGGACTGAACGGTCTGAACCAGACTTGGCCATCACTACCGATACATAATCCGAAAGGGCAGCAAGTCAAAAGTTGCTAAGGCAATATGCTGTGGTTTATCTGGGTACCTCTAATAGAAGTCCGCAACCTTGTCTGGAGCAAAAAACACGTTCAAACCGAACTTATGAATCATGTGAAGCATCATTGCCTTTCCACCTGATGAAGTAGTTAAGTCACTTATACCTTATCCTATAGCATCCAAGATTTCATTAACTTCCCATTTGGGGACTCTGTCCCAGCTCGTCATGAACTGGAGCCATAGTTGTAAGGCTTTGGCTAGAATCCTTAGGATGGCTAGCCTGATTCTAGGCTAACTGTCTAGCAACAGCCAGTAAGACTATTGCCTAGATTCTTAGCCCTGGCTAGGCTTGCCTTTGGGTGGCTTTAGCAGGGCTATCTGTTATATCTGTCATCTGTTACAGTTGTAATAAATATCTTGTTATTATTATCTAGGTACTTAATCTACCTATTGCTACCTAGTTGATGAACCCTTTTACCTGGTATGGGAGTTACAGATCAGCTAGATTGTCTAGCCTTGTTTTTGTCCTTTCAAGATAACCTTCTAACTTAGAGCTGATAAAAGTTCCAAAAATTGTATCTGATTTACAAGAAATCAAGTTCTGTATTCACACCGGGGTTTTAGTAAAAAAAATGGTTCCCAAAGCAGAATTTATATATGAGAAATAGTGGTCCAAAACAATAGCCTTTTTTGCTGCTTTGATTGATGTGCAATGAAAGTGGCAAAAATTATATCTGATTTACAAGAAATCAAGTTCTGTATTGGGGTATCAAATATAGCATATATTGTGACTACCCCTCCCTGACCATGTTTTGTAGATAATAAGTGCATCTCATTTAAACCAAAAAAGTTGTGAAAATATGAATCTTTTTTGTCCACTACCGGGGTTTCTGGTGAAAAATGGGCCCCAAAGTAAGATTTATATGTGACAGATATCTGTCAAAATCAAGGACCCAGATTGTTATCAATGCTCTTGATTTCCATGCAGGGCCTTGACTTGATAGAAATCGGCTGGTGTCAGGGGAAACCCTGATGCCGTCACTTGATCCCATCAAGCGCCACGTCTCCGCTCACGTCTCCGCGTCTCCACTCGCGTCTCTGTGTGTCCACCCGAGTCTCTGTATTCCTGCACCCTGACGCTCCTCCTCCACTTCTTCCACCACATCCCGCATCCAGTGGTCCCCAGCCTCTGACTCCTATGGCCACCCCTTTCTGGGAGTCTTCCCGGAGTCACCATCAGGGATCACTAATGCCATCGGAGACCCCTCCGGATGTGGATGCACCACTTTCCTCTGAGACCTCGAACCTATGGCCTTATAGCCTCTCTGGGCTGTTGCTCATTGAGGTCTCCCTGCAACCTCTACCTGTTGGACCTCTTGGGTGTCCCCAACCTACGTCAGCATTCGGGCTTATGTTCGGATGGCTGAGCCTTGCCATGGCTCCGCTCCCCACTCCGTGTAAGGGGCAACCCCGGAGGCCTGAGATCAAGGTCCTAGCAGGGGAGGATCCAAAGCGTGAACATTGGTAAGTGAATACAAATGAAGCTGACCTAGCAGGGGAGGATCCAAAGAGAAGAAACTCTAAGGGTCCGCCTGCGGAGCTGACTATATACTGCTTGTCCGTAGCTGCCGCTGTTGGGCACAGAAGGCTTGGGCGGCGTCGCAGGCGAGGTCCCAGGGCGACTGTCGGGAGGGTGTTGACGGATCGGTGATTGTGCGGGCGAGATGGAGGGCCGGACCGGAGTCGGAACCGGAATCGGACCAGAATCGGGCGCGTCTCCGGGCCGAAAGGGAGGTTCCCCTGACACTCCGCCACCACGGCCCCCGTCATCAGGTCTTCCTTTGGGTGAGGCCTACTGCCGTTAAGGCTTGTGCCTACTGCAGCGCCCCAGGCTGCACG